AATGTAGAAAAATAATATATAAAATCATTACTTAGATTCTCTTTATTTAAATCCAAATCATTTTTATTCTAAATTCAAAATAAGTCAAAATAGAATAATAGTTCGTCAGTGAAGTTCGGTGCCTTAAAATAATAAACTATTTTTTTTCAAAACAATTAGACCTTTTAACGAAAAAAAAAATATCTTAATTTGTTCTATTGAAATCTGCAATACATCCTTATTTAAATTAAAAATACTTTTTGACAAAACTTATACACAATTTTTTGCAATCAATTAACAGCACATAACTAGAATAGTTAACATTCAACGAAATAAACTACGACACTTTCAAAAGGTAGAAAACTCTTCCGTTCTTTAATTTAGTATTATCATAATTATATCATTCGGCAACTTATATTACTTACAATACTTTAATCGATCACATATTAAAATAAATACACTGATTATATTGTCCGATATTATAACAGAAAGAATGAAAACAAATTACGAAAAATCCATTTTAAAAATCGAATCGCACCGTATTTTTCTTTTTCATCCAATGTTTGAGAAGCAAATACACTAAAGAGGTTGACTACCTCCTTATATACGTACCTAAGTATGTATTATAGTGATTACTTATCTTTTAATAATTTCTCTACCTACCTACCTACCTACCTTCATAATTATGTATTTTATTTTAAAAGTCTACATTATAATTCTCCTTTCACATCACAATATCAGCCTTTAAGTGCCCACTACTGAGTGCCAGTGCCCACCCAAAAAAGCCATGAGTATAAATCTGATTGGATGGAGAGGGAGAGGGAGACCAAAGAAAATATGGATGGATTGTGTGAGAAATGATATGGAAGACAGAGGAGTTGGTGATAGCGTGACGAGTGACAGGACAGAATGGAAGAAAAATACATATTGCGGCGACCCCAAATAAAACGGGACAAGGGCAGGAAGATGATGATGAAGTGCCCACTGCTGAACACGATGCATGGTTTCCTTCACCGAAGTGCGTTGCCGCCCTTTTGGGGATTAGGGTGTCGGAGATTTAGGGATTAAACAAGGAAAAAAGGAAGCCTTAAACACAACCCTGTCGTTGTTTTACATCAGTTTGAAAGTCAAAGTCAAAGTCAAAATCATTTATTCCAACTAAACCATAAATAGGTACTTTTGAAACGTCAAAATAGAATTGTAGTCTGTCAGTCTGTTCGTCAGTGAAGCTAGGTGCTCGTTCCAAATTGTAGATTCGAATGGAGAAGAACGAGCAAGAAACTCCATGGTTACTAGTTATTCGTTTTCTGTATCAATCTAACCGAGCCGACCTATTCGTGCCCTAGCTTGTCTCCCACTTCTTAAATATATAACAATTTTCTCACGTAACAGGCTAGCGAGGATCTCTGTAAGAGTGTATGTTGGTAAGTCACTACCTCACACAAAAACTTTTTTTTTGCAAACGAGCAGACGGATTACCTGATGGTAAGCAATCAGCACCGCTCATGGACACTCGCAACACCAAAGGCCTTTAGGGGATAAGGGTTTAGGATATTAAGGAATTAGGGATGGGGGAGGCTTAAGTCTCCTGTAACTTCATTCACACGGCGAAACACAACGCTGTGATTGTAGTACCAGGGCGTACAAGTGCGTTGCCAACCTATTGGGGATTTAAGGATGGGGGATAGGGGAGGAAGAATTGGGCCTCCGGTAACCTCACTCACACGGCGAAACACAACGTAAGTATTGCTTCACGCCGGTTTTCTGTGAGGCCGTTAAATCACTCCAGTCGAGCCGACCCTTTCGTGCTAAGATATGGCTCTATCACATTATTAAATGACATACAGCTACCCATTAGAAACAAGAGTTGAATCGACGTGGTTTTGAGCCAATAAATATTTTCTTTTAGCGAGGAATTCCACCATGTGATTTTCCCCATCCTAGGTGATGCGAAAGGAATAACTGGAGTCTTACTGGCTTAAAACCAGAACCAAGCGCCGTTCTTGGCGAGCTTGACCTTCAACCGGCGGAACATCAGCCATATTGGGTCGCATTCTTTTTCTGCAGGTTACTACTTCTGGTCGGACGGTGAGATGCCCTTGTGGACACCGTAGCGCGATCTTCGACGCTCGGAGTGTCTTCTTAAACTCCATCTTTTCAGGTATCTTCGTGGGAAGAGAAGACAGTTTCACATTGCCCCTCGATCCGCATTATGGCTTCGACTAAGGCCGGGTTCGAGAGGTCGTCGCCGCCGATCACTTCCCTGATGACACGGCGGTGCTCAGCCCAAGCAGGGGACACCGTATCCTCCACTTTTTCCTCACAGTGACGACGGCCAGGCGTTTCCTCCTTTGGTATTACTAGTGTCCATAGACGGTGCTGATTGCTTACCATCAGGTAATCCGTCCGCTCGTTAACCAAAATCACCATTGACTGTGCAGAAAAAAGCGATTTATCATAACTACCTTTCCACACTTCTAATCCTATTTAATATATATTTCTTATGAATGAAAAATAACACTATCTTTTCACAGAACTATGGCAGATTTATTTTTTATTTCCTTTGATAATATGGAAGGGCAGACTTATAATTGCAAAATGACAGTAAACAATATTTTAAAGACACAATGTTTAGTAATTTATATTAAGATAAGCACGGGTTCCGTATCCAAAAAAAAAAATATCTTACAAATAATTATTTATTAGCGACCCGTCCCAGCTTTGCTTGGATGCGATCCGTAAAATAGTGGGATTTTATTATACATTAAAATTCCTCATATAATCAATTTATAAAAAAAAAACTGCATTAAAATTGTTCAGAAAAACTGCAATTGCGTTCAAAAAACTATATCAAAAGCGTTCAGTTCTGGTCGAACGGTGAGTCGATTATGATTGCCGTCCACAAATAATTTCTGTTAGTTTTTATCACCATATTATTTTCTAGTCTACAAGAATATAAGTTTAATTAACGGCTGATTTTTCATTAGACAGATAAATGTTATCTGAGGAATAAAATTGTTGCTGTCACTGCCTTATACAAACATTCTGACGCGACAGCATCATAATTATTCCCCAGGTGACTTTTATCTAAACATTGAAAAATTTGCCTTAAAGGAAATTACTATACCTAAGCACTAAAAAATCCGTGTAATTAAAATAAAAATCTTCAAGTAAGCATGACTGAACATATTTTAAACAATTAGGTATGATAAATATTTAAATCAAAAACCTAACTTCTTATAAATCCTATTTATTGATAATAGCTACTCTTTCGCGGTTTCGCCCGCTGCTCGGCTCCATTTAATCGCAGCGTGATGTTTTATAGCCTATAGCAATCAGGAACATTGTAGCTATCTATCAGTGAAAGAATTTTGGCAATCCGACCAGCGGTTCCAAAGATTACCCCCTACATACAAACTTACAAACATACAAACTTACAAATTTTACCTCTTTATAATATTAGTATAGATTACCTACATATGTATCCTTGAAAGAGTTGGCAAGGGCAGTAAAATTTTACATTTACTACTTTTATATAAACTAGCTACTCTCGCGCGGTTTCACTGAAAGAATTGTTTAATTCGAACCAGTCGTTCTTAACATTAGTGAGTTCAAACAAACAAACAAACTCTACAGCTTTATAATATTAAGTACTAGCTTCCGCACGCGGATTCGCCCGCGTAGTATGTTCATTATAAGCAGCCTATATGTTAATCCAGGGTAGGTATCATCTTCGAGAGATGATCTCCGACCACCGTAAGCGCGTGTCTCCGGACGGCGAGTCAAGGTAGATCCAGAACCGAGCGCACGGCGCGTAGCGTTCCGCGCGCGCCTCAATGAGCCAATAGACCACCACAGACGGGGCCCTAAAAAGCTGATGTTCAGCCAGGGTTGAGGGGTACTTATATAGGTAGTAAGTGCAATGTGGCACCGCGGCCTCGGCCTAGAGCAGGGGAAGGAACGGGTGGTTTTAGTCATATGATGATTTTCCGCTCACAAAAAAAATGTACCACCTAGATACACATTTTAACCAAAACAGTTTTGTCATTTTTACATGAAAAAACAAGAAACATACATAAATGTAGGATAGATTTTTCTGCCAACTTTACTGTAATGTAAGGCATGCGCCCTGTGCATCGGGGATCGCGCGACGATCTCCAGCCACCGTTGGTCTGTGGAACACGAGAAGAGGTAGCTTGTCGCTCGATCTGAACCTGACCCAAACGTACTGCGGAAAATTAGGGGCCGCTAAGGCCGATGTCCAGCCAGGGTAGCGAGTGATATCCCACTGATGTAGAGAACCAGCTCAGAGCAGGAGAAGGTAGGGGGTGGTTTTTAATCAGTATGACTCTGATACTCTTCTCCCTGCCCAGGGAGGGATCAATTGATCTGTTTTTTCCCTAAAAAAGAGAAATAAAGCCATTTAAAACAGAAACAGCTTTTGTCAGGACGATCCCGGAACTAAAAATAAGGCCTGTGGCATTAAGTCCACCTTGTACACATATGTATGTGCAAAAGTGTAAATAAATAAATAATATTTAGAGACATTTTATTGATTAAATCTTACAGCTTCCAGCATCAGGGCGGGAGTAGACATTTGATCTGTGTTTAAAAAAATAAAGCCATTTCAAACAAGGTTTTGTCTAGAGAACTACCTAGAAACTACCATGGAGTTTCTTGCTCGTTCTTCTCCATCGGAATCTACACTTTGGAACGAGCGAATAGCTTCACTAAGAGGACTGACCGACAGACTGACAATTTATATCTTTAAAGTTGTGTTGACATTCAAAAGTGCCTGTATGGGCCTAATTGAAAATAATAAATAAAATAAGAACCCCGAGACGACCGGAATTTCCCAGAACTAAACAGTTTAGAGACATTTTCATTGATTATATCTTACAGCTTGACGTAAATTAGAAATTACTTAAAAACATGCATCCGGACAACCCCAAGAGATTATCAGAAAAAAAAATCAAGATTTGCAATCAAGAACAGTATCAGAGATTTAACATCAACGATTGCGGAACCCAAAAATAGATATCGATATGTTTATTACTTATAATAATCGCTACCTTTTAAATGATAATAGATATTATCGGGGATTAAATATATTTTTCGGGTATATATTATATTACAATTAGTGTAAATATCGCATATCCAAAGTGGTCTTAAGACTGTGTGTGCAAAAAAATATCGGTTACAACCTAAATTGGAATGTTCAGTAAGTCATAGCTTATTTTTATTTATTTCTCGTATTTAAAATTTTCGGAGTTTAAAATTTGAGATATTTTTTTTCGGAAGTGATTAATTAATAAGAATAAGTATTACATATTAATCGGAAGTGTGATTTCCTAAACATTCTGCGTAATAATTACAAAACGATTTTTTTAATTTATTTATTTTTAATTTTCAACATTTTAGATGTTTTGTAGGTAAATGAAAATTATTTTTTCTTATTCATTGAAGCTGTTAAACTATTTCCTCCAATATAAAATTTCGTGATATAAAACTCATCAAAAATATAATTAGGTACATATGTATTTTAAAACAGAGAAAAAGTGATTCGCATCATCAGCCTATAAGTGCCGACTGCTGAGCAAAGGCCTTCTCACACGAAGATTTGAGCATTAATTTATAAATTAAATTTTAACTGCAGATTTCCTCGGGATGTTTTCCTTCACTGTTTGTCAGTGGTGTCTAAATACGTTTATTGAAAAGTAGCTTTTGCTTTCGACTTCGTTTGCGTGGAATAGTAATTTCCTGCAGATTTTTTGGTATAAAAACTATCCTATGTCCTTTTCCGACTTTCAAACTATGTCTGTACCAAATTTCACAGGAATCGGTTCAGTAGTTTAGACAAGAAGAATAATAATAATGTATCGCAGGATATAAAAAACAGCGTTTAAAGCGATAGCTCGACCAAAATACACAAATCGGTTATAATTTATAGCTTATAGCGCTCAGGAACATTGTAGCTATCTCTCTATCAGTGAAAGAATTTTGGAACAAAGATCAGCGAGAGGTTCCAATATTATCCCCTACTTGCAAATTTACCAATTTTATCTCTATAATTCAAACTAATATTATAAATGCCAAAGTAACTCTGTCTGTCTGTCTTTCTAAAGGACATAAGATAGTTTTTAAACCAAAAATCTGCAGGAAATCACTATTCCACGAGGACAAAAGCTAGTATTAGTATCAAAATGTTCACTAGCGCTGATACCTTTGCGGAAATTAATATTTTCTGTGTTTTTTCTTAATCATTAGATTATGATATTTTCATGTAGGTAGGTATGTATCTACATTTTTAAGCCTGATAACAATAATGTCTGTTGTTTCGAATAGTAGGTAAGGAATTACGTCAAATATTAAACAAAAGATAAATAAAATAATATAAAACTCGACAAAGAACTCGGGATTACATCTAAGTATACTAATATTATAAAGAGGTAAAATTTGTAAGTTTGTATATAGGGGGTAATCTTTGGAACCGTTGGTCGGATTGCCAAAATTATTTCACTGATAGATAGCTATAATGTTCCTGAGTGCTATAGGCTATAAAACATCACGCTACAATTAAATGGAGCCGAGCAGCGGGTAAGACCACGCGAGAGTAGCTAGTTATACATATAAACCTTCCTCTTCAATTACTCTATCTATTCAAAAAGCCGCATTACAATCCGTTGCGCAGTTTTATAGATTTGAGCGTACAGAGGAATATAGGGTCAGAGAAAGCGACTTTGTTTTATACTATGTAGTGATTATTTGTACCAATGGCTGTATAAAGTTACCTAGCATTTTTCAAATCTCTCAAGCTTCTTAATTCAAAAGAATAGATAATAATTATGCCTTATAGATAATATAAAAGAAAAAAGTACTGTGTTATCTCAATTGTATTAATGACTTAGGGCTGATTTTTAAATAGACAGATAAATGTTATCTAAAGAATAGAATTGTTGCTGTCACTGTCTTATACAAACATTGTGACGCGACAGCATCATAATTATTCCCCAGGTAACTTTTATCTAACCATTGAAAAATCAGCGCTAAGCACGTTTCGGATTTTTTTTTCATTCGCGTGGATTAGTGACGACTTGCAGATTTTTGGTATAAAAACTATCCTATGTCCTATCTCGAGTTCCAAACTACGTCTGTACCATATATCTACACAATTTCACGGAATAATTTTTTTTGGTAGTTTAGTAGTTTAGGGGTAAAGAAAACACAGACAGAGTTACTTTCGAATTTATAATATTAGTTTGGATTTGGATTGAATTTATAGGGTATTAGCTCTCAAAAAATAAATCGAAGAAGTCAGTAGATATAAATTAATAGCGTAGGTACTCAAATGTATAATATATAAAAAGTTTAGACCTCTAATTTGCGCTCTAAACAAAAGCGAAACGAGTGCATTGCGTTCCAGGGACATTACAAAATATAGTCTAGAATCCCAAATTTAAATAAACCAAACGATATTTTATAAGTAGGAAAGAAGATAGTTTCCTCTTTCCTCTATAGGAAACATTATATCAAGTAAAAATGGCATTATTTTGGTGTTAAAATGTATTTGTGGCGCATAATATTAACATAAAAATTAAATTGATGAACTAATTATAAGTACCTAGTAAAAGCTATGAATGAAAAAATGTGAATAATATGCAATCAGCCCATGAATAGAGGAAATTCACAAGCCAATGCTAGTAATATATATAAACAAAACAGAATATACAAGTAAAGCGCTTTAAAATGATACCAAACACGGCAAATACAGGGTGTCCGGTAAAGAATGGATAACCTTGAAATGCCTTTTAGTATATCCTTTGGCCATTCAGAAAAAACAACGAAAAGGAAAGTATCATACGTAGTACCTAAATTATTATGTCTTGAAGTAAAAGAACTGGGGCTAGAGGTAATACAAAATGATCCTTTAACATTTACGTTCATTACATTACTGCATAACCACGATGATTAAACATTGCTCTAAAAATAAATTTTGCACGATTTGTCTATAATAAATTAATTTGCAAGTTTTTTATAAAATATTATTTTTTCGTTTTTTTTTTTTTGTATATTTTTTGAATGGTCGTAAGATATACTTAAAGGTATTGCAAGGTTATCCATTCTTTACCGGACACCCTGTATATCACAACTTTATTTTTTACTCTGAATGTTTTGTCCGCTAGAGAACGCCACATTAGATTTTGTGATACCCTATATAGCCTATAGACGTGTGTCGTGGTGGCCCGGAGGTTAAGGAGCCCGCTTATCATTAATTAGGGTGTGAGTTCGAAACCTGGCAAGTACCAATGTGACTCTTTCCGAGTTATATGTACTTTCTATGATTATTTAGACACCACTGACATACGGTGAAGGTAAACATCGTGAGGAAACCTGGACTTATAATTTCCAATTATAAGTTTGAAATCGCCAACCCGTCTTGAGAAAGCGTGGTGATTAATGCTCAAACCTTCTCCGTGTGAGAAGAGGCCTTTGCTCAGCAGTGGGCACTTATAGGCTGGTGATGATGATGATGATGATATAGCCTATAACCAGCGGACAATTAAGATGTTTATAATGATATAACATTTGTCGAATTCTGATGAAAGAAGTTACAAAGAAACAGATGAACACACATATGTACATACATACCGTACATACATAAAAATCATAACCCTCCTTTTGCTTCGCCGTAGTCGGGTAAAAATGACTGTCCAGTAATTCCCTAAAAGCGAAAAGTTGTATTAAAATTAAACCTTTTTTCCACAGAAAACTTACTATTCTTGGCGGCCTTAGGGCTAGCCTTGGCCCGGCCCAACGATGAGGCGAGTCCAATGAGCTTCTACGAGCCTCATGATGACTGTCCTCCTGCAGAGGTCCATTTCCTCCTTCCTCACGAATATGACTGCACCAAATTCTACTACTGTGAATATGGTCTAAAGTGGATTGAACCCCGAAGCTGCGCTCCAGGAACGGAATTCAATGCTGCGGCACAGGTAATATATTTTTGACTGTGCAACTGACTGCCACGCAACATGTCGCGGATTTCCGCGCGGAACAACTCTTTGTGTGATCCACAAATTGTTGTTCCGGGTCTGGGTGTGATGTGTATGTGAAATTGTTTGTTAACGCGCCCACGACACAGAAGAAAATCTTGGAGTGGAACAACATTTTTTTCCACTTACTTTTACGATTAGGTATCCCTCTAAAAAAATATTACTGTATCAAAAAAACAGAAATTGGGTAGTTTTCTACGTCGAAAATTTGGCGGCCTCAGCCTAAAGCAGGAGAAGGAACGGGAGATATTAGTCAGATTTAGTCAGTAAGATTCTGACACTCCCTCTCGCCTCACTATCTATGTATATGAAAATCAAACATCTGTCTGTGTGTTTGACATAAGACTTTTCTACATCGCCTGAAGATCAACCTTATCATTACATACTGAAATATTTCTATATACTATTTTTAGCTTTATTATATTTACAATCGAAAATCTAATGATGATGGCTGCAGATCAACCTTATCATTAGATCCTAACATATTTCTATATTATATTATAACTTTATTATTTTACTATAAATAGTCGAAAATCAAATAACAGATCCGAAATTTTGTAATTTAAAAATAATTTTCTCACAGGGTTGTGTACATCCAGTTGACTCTGGATGCCATCTACCTGGACCTGGAGGAAGTTCAACTCAAGCACCGACCACTTCTCAAGTGCCAACAACTACAACAACAACTCAAGCACCTACAACAACAACTACTACAACAACTCAGGCACCAACAACCACGACAACTACAACAACTCCAGTACCTACAACCACAACAACTACAACCACTCCAGCACCTACTACAACAACAACTACTACCACCACAACAACCCCGGCACCAACGACTACAACAACTACAACAACTCCGGCGCCCACGACTACAACCACTACAACAACTGCGGCACCAACCACAACTACAACAACACAGGCACCAACCACTACAACAACAACACAGGCACCAACCACAACAACAACAACACAGGCACCAACCACAACAACAACAACAACACAGGCACCAACCACTACAACAACAACACAGGCACCAACAACTACAACCCAAGCTTCAACCACTACTCAACAAACAAGTTCTGTTGGTAAATATAATTTTAATTAAATTTACTAATTGTAAGGTGACTTCAGTAAATAAGGGAGAGCCATGCTTCGGCACGAATGGGCCGGCTCGAACAGAGTAATACTACGGCCTTACAGAAAACCGGCGTTAAGCAACACTTATCTTCTCTTTCATGGTGTTACTGAGATTACCGTACCGTACCGTACCCCAATCATTTCCCCCAATGGTAACAAAAAGGTTATAAAAAAAAGTAAGCCTTAACTAAAAATTGTATGGTTGACGCGGGAAAGCGCATCATCACTACTGGGAATTGGCCACTCATATAATTTATCTGAAACAAGGCTTAAGTTGTATTTCTCTTGTAAGCAAGGTTACAAGAGACCTCACAAAAAGACCAGCATCTAGTTCTACTATTAACTCTTTTAGAGCCAAGGTTGGTGCCAATTCCTCCCCTTCAAGTGATTTGTCAGCCCTTTCGCTCCTATATAAAGCACATGTTATAAAACTTCTTGGTATCCACAGGTCCATCCAGCACTTCTAGACCTGACTGCGATTTCTTGGACAATGGCTGCCCAGCTGACTTTGACGTCCATTGGCTCCTCCCTCATGAGGAGTACTGCAACAAATTCTACTACTGTGATAAAGGACAACTTGTTGAAAGGTTCTGCGCTCCCGGTACCGTCTTCAGTCCCATTGTAGGCGTAAGTAATTTTATCCTTTACTAAATATCATACTGCCCTTCTCAGAGACATCTAATCATTACTTGAACCGTCACTATTACTTAGTGAAAATTTTGTTTCTTTTCTTTTCATGGAAACCTTACAGATTTATAAATATCTATTAGATAAAGTTCCTAATTTCCAGAGAGTCTAATACTCTCTCTTGCACCTCCCAGGGCAGAAAGATCCAATGACTTTTCCCCACAAACTCTAACGTAGAAAAAGATCTCTCTAAAATGCAAAACAAAACACCTCAATTCGGAAAATTGCACAACAATATCCAAATTAAAAAGACCACATAATCATCTGATTCAATATTGGAAATCTAAAATTGACGCAAAACAATGAAATCATAGGAATTTTATCAACAACTATGATGCGGAAACCAGATTATGTTAAGTTTTACTGATAATGTTTCATTGTCATTATCAACTATTAGATAGACGCAAAATTATTTAGATTTTCCAATGTAATAAACTACTAAAACATTCATTCATTGATTTAACGATAAACTTATTAGGAAAAAAAAATCTAGAAACATGTTAGCTATTTGACTCAAGCAAGACCCATACATCCATAGAATCTTGAGAAGAATCTGGACAGTTCAAAAACAATATTAAGTATCATTGATTAAATTTCAAATATTCAATTGCATTGTAAAGAATATACTTAGATAGAAGCATACATGCAACAGTTTCACATTATCAGCCTATAAGTGCTCACTGCTAAGCAAAGGCCTCATCTCAAACAGAGAAGGTTTGAGCATCAATCACCACGCTTGCTCAAAGTGTATTGGCAATTCCAAACTTATAATTAGGAATTATAAAAGTTTCTCATAATGTTTTCCTTAATCGTATGTCAGTGATGTCTAAATAAACATAGACAGTACATATAACGCGAAAAAAGTCATATTCTTACTTGCCAGTTTTCCTTCTTCATGAGAAGCGTGGCTCACCGCGACGACATTAATTAGCGTTTCCGTAAATGCGTAATTCCGGCCAGAAAATACCCGTTTCCAACTTATCTGTGTAAAAGGATTAGTCGTTTAAATTTTATTAGCGGATTTAGATTAGAATTCAAGGATTCATGTACCTACATTTGATTTGGACAGGAAAAGACTTGATAGAAATTCTAGCTAATGAAAACAATGTAATCTTTGGCAATGATGTTAAAGTTATAAAGGGTTTTATAGCGCTAGTAAATGTTACCTTCAACGTTTTTGATTTTGAAGGCTTAAACGATAATGTTATTGAAGATAACATTGCTATCATGATTACAGTAGAGGTGAAATTAGGTATTACAAACAAATTTCTTTCAATTTGAAGTTCTTATAGACTTATTTGCAGCAGCAATCATTTCTTGGAAGTTACATCTGATAACTGTTGCTTTCCGTAACTTTGAATAATGTTGCAATTCATTGTTTTCATATTATTTAGTTGCGTTAAATTATATGATATTTCTTCTATGTTAAATTTGTTCTTAACTAAATTCACCAACTCAACCATTTTATCATCAGACACTTTAACCTTTACCACTTTTAAAATTCCAGGTCTGCGTTCACCCTGTTGACTTCGACTGTGGAGACAAAGGCATTGCGGATCAACCTGATGGTCCAATCGATGATAATAACAAACCCTGCAACGGAACTGACAACGATATCGGTGAGGTCCTCGAAAATGGATGCCCAGCTAACTTTGACGTGCACCATCTCCTCCCTCACGAAACAGACTGCGACAAATTCTACTACTGCGTCCATGGACAAAAAGTTGTGAGCCCCTGTGCTCCTGGCACGCACTTCAACTACGAAATCCAGGTCAGTTTGTCTCTTAAAAACATTTTAAAAAGTAAACACTCTAGAAAGTATATGACTGTCTACATATGCGTCACCTGTTAAGCCATTATCATTGTTATTTGTTTATTTATTAAAGTTCTTTTTTATTTGCTTGTCATTCAAAATTTTGTGTTCTTCTCTTAATTTTGTTTTCAATTTATTTGGTTCAACATTTTCTTCGTCTTTTATTAAATTTTGATTGAGTTTCTTGAGAATCTCTTTTAACATTCTTGTTTAGTTACTAGTTTTCTTTAAGCATTGGTTCGGTACTTAGATTAAGAGGCTCAAGGAAAATTTTTGGTGGTTGGTGGTGACCTATATCAGCGTACCTATTACAGAATTCCATTTATAATCAATGCTACCTTATAGGACTGGTTAGTCGTGATTCAGGTCCAGATAATAAGTAAAAACGATTTGTCAGATATGTTTTTCGTAAACAGATCTTTTTCTTCCTTAGAAATGTCATATGTTTTGCTTTCTTCTTTCATCTTTAATAGTATATCAGCAATTGATTTAAAACCAATTAATTCATTATTAACTAGCTTTTGCCTGCGACTTCGTTCGCGTGGAATAGTGACATCCTGCAGATTTTTGGTATTAAAACTATCCTATGTCCTTTCTCGAGTTCCAAACCATGTCTGTATCAAATTTCACAGAAATTGGTTCAGTAGTTTAGGCGTGAAGAAAAGACAGATAGACAGACAAAGTTACTTTCGAATTTATAATATTAGTTTGGATTTTTAATATTGTATTCAACAGTACATAAAAAATGCGTGTTTCTGATAAGATTTATAAAATGACGTCTTATTTGTATTGTGGACTTTATATTTTAATCTTTTGTGCAGTCGTCGTAAATTCGGTAGCGGACTGACGTTATAATATTCTGATAAGATTATCTTGTTTACCAGCCTTTTACCGTTTTCGATTGTTTTATAATTATGACCTTTATGGACAGAATTTTTTCTTTACCAGCGATTAAGTGACTGACAGTCAACGTTTTTTAGAACTAGCGATCCGTCCGTGATACTAAATGTTTCCAATATTAAATGGATGTTATTATACATTTAAAATTTCCTCTTCAATTACTCTATCTATTAATAAAACACATCAAAATCCGTTGCGTAGTTTTAAAGATTTAAGCGTACATAGTTACATAAATAGGGATACAGGCAACAACTAAACTGGACTCTTAAAAGCATTGAATTTGGAGTCTATACCTTTTATTTTAAGGTTTAAAATTCGTAAAAAGATTTTTAATTTTCAAAATTGCCGTAACGTCTGTTTTATTGAATAAAATATCTTATTATTTCCCTACTGGTTCACATAATACACTTAGATTAGATATGTCTATGGCCCACGGTATACAGGTATAAAACAGCGCCATCTATTCGACCGGTTAAGTACTTTTATAGCTTCTGTCATAATCATAAATCTGTTCATATTACTCAGCCGATTAAAAGAATCTTATATTGGTAATATAATAAAAAATAAATACGCAATAAAACAATATATTACATTACCAATAAAAATAATAATAAAACTATGGCAAAACTCAACAATCAAATTTTAATATTTATCTGATAAAAAAAATATCGATAAAGTATCGTAAAACTATTTTTTTAGTCATAGATTTAGTGGAAGATAATGATGATAATTATTACTAAGTATTATTATTCTAATTGCTATTTTATTACGTAACCCTTACGGTAGTGCTAAAACGATTAATTATGATAACTTTCCAAAGCGAATTCTTTAAATAACTATGATGAAATTTTTATTGATTATCGTCTAGGAAATATCAGCTTCAGTTCAGTCTTTTGTCAACACCCTAGGGTTATATAAAAACCCAGCCGGGGTTGCGGGTTATACGCTTGTAGTGACATCTAGCGCACTACATTAACAACAGCACCAATCACGTGCAAGAGTCTACATCGCGCTATAAGAGTTTTCCACACAATTAGCACCCATACAGATATCCCGACAACAGTTGGGCAGTAGCCCACCAGGCACGAACACCTTGCCTGGTCGGAGGATCCTCCCTTTTCAATGGAGGATGAGGAACTTTCCACCCTGTTCCTCATACCTCTAAACGCTCAATAATGAACCAAGGCCCCGGCCAGAAGTAGAACACGAAATGAGTTGGTTTCTAGTCAGTTAAAGTCTGACACTCTGTGCTTAGGTACTTAGGGCGTAAGAAGTCATTTGATAATGGTTTTTCCTCAAAAGAGGTTTATAACAGAGGTGCGCTTATTTTCTGTCTGGCATATATTTTATGCTATACATATATACTCAATATAGACTTAATACTTAATGTTATAAAGCTAATATAATTGGGCAAACTATCTATAAGAACCTACTTAATATTATAAATGCGAAAGTAACTCTGTCTGTCTATCTTTTCTTCACGCCTAAACTACTGAACCGATTTCTGAAATATTTGGAACAGACATAGTTTGGAACTCGAGACAGGATATAGGATTGTTTTCATACCAAAAATCTACAGGAAGTCACTATTCCATGCAAACGCAGTCGCGGGAAAAAGCTAGTATTATAAATGCGAAAGTAACCCTGTCTGTCTATCTTTTCTTCACGCCTAAACTACTGAACCGATTTTTGTGAAATTTGGTACAAACATAGTTTGGAACTCGAGAAAGGATATAGGATAGAGTTTTTATACCAAAAATCTGCAGGAAGTCACTATTCCGCGCGATATGAGTCGAGGGCAAAAGCTAATTTTAGATACCTAAGTAAAAATTTAATAAACAAAAGATTTCGGATAGCAACGAGGTTTAATAGGTACATTGTCTGGCAAAAGACTCGTCACCAATTAGCGAATTTTACGTCATAAATAATTACGCAAGTAATCACGTTTTTTTGTAAAAAAAAAATAATCTAAGATTCTACCTAGGTATATTGTCCTTAATTATAATGATTCATATCTTTTATGAAAAAAAAAACAATAAGATAAAAATATTTATTTGTAATTAACACGACAATGCTTACTTAATAGAATGATATACTTATACAATATGTATGTGTTATGACGGAAAAACATGGCGAATTTGATAAATATTGATTTTAAAGATAAAATTATTAAAACTAATGATTATTCCTGGCCTCTCTCGCTTAAAGAATTATACCTACTTTTATATGCATACTAGCTACTCTCACGCGGTTTCACACTCTCATTTGATCGTAGCGTGATGTTTTATAGCCTATAGCTCTCAGGAACATTGTAGCTATCTATCAGTGCAAGAATTTTGGCAATCCGACCAACGGTTCCAAGCATTACCCCCTACATACAAACTTGCAAATTTTACCTTTTTATAATATTATAGTATTAGTATAGATATGTATACAGTTTCCTAAAAATATTATAAATGTAAAAGTTTGTGACAATATAATATTATGTATGTATGTTTGTTATTCATTCAAGCAAAAACAGCTGGACCGATTTGGTTGAAATTTTTTTTTGTAGACATTTGCTTTTTATCAGCATACGGCAGAAGCTTGGTACTGAAGAATAGTTATAACTGATAGGTACTTACCTTTATTAGTAATAAATACAAATTAATCAAACAGGAAACAAAAAAATATCGCGATAAAATTTGAAACTCGCAAATCTATAGGCATTTTGATAAATAAATAAAATACTTAAATGAAAAACAAAAAACTAAGTCCACTTAGGTACGTGAAATACTGAATACTTTTGATTTTAATCAAAACGATAAATTTAGGTAGGTAAATTAAAACATTAATTTTATATTTACCGACTAATCAATTACGCGTTTATTTTAAATTATTTATTCATAATACTTACTTACATAGTTTGATTTAAAAGATAAATAAAATAGATTTTAATCTGTTTAAAACTATTTACGTGATCGTATGATAAATTAATAATTTTATGGAAATATACCGAATTCCGCATAGTTATAGATTGATAGGAAGATATAGATAATATTATACTATATATCTACGTCATCATCATCAGGCTATAAGTGCCCACTGCTAAGCAAATACCTCTTCTCACACGAAGGTTTGAGCATTAATCACCACGCTAGCTCAATGCGGGTTCGCGATTTCAAACTTATAATTAGAAATTATAAGTCCAGATTCCCTCACGATGTTTTCCTTCACCGTGTGTCAGTGGTAACTAAATAATCATAGAAAGTACATATACTTAACTTGGAAAAAGTCACATTGGTACTTGCCAGGTTTCGAACCCACACCCTCAGGCATGAGAATCGGGCTCCTTAACCTCAGGGCCACCACGAAACCTACATAATTATACCTACGTATCTACGCACTAACGCTAGCCTATAAGTGCCAACTGCTAAGCAAAGACCTCTTCTCACACGGAGAAGGTTTGAGCATTAATCATAATGCTTGCTCCAGTCAGATTTTATAACAAGAAATCCAGGCTTTCTAATGATTCAGCCGGGGTTAGTAAGTCAAGTGCAATAAAGTACCACAGCCTGGAGCAGGGGAAAGGACGAGTTGTTTTTTAGTCAGTAAGAGTCTGACACTCCCTTTCGCTATAAGAGAAGTCATTTGGTACTTAGAAAATAAATGTAACTCGGAAAAAGTCACTTTATACAAGAATGGGCTTTACCATCCGGGCCAATAATTATTTTATAGTAAAATTGAATATATTTTTCGACATAGTAGTATAAAATAACTTGAATGAAAGTATTGTTTTGTACCTGATATTATCAACAACTGAACCTCCTATTAAAGAAAATACTCATTATGTGCGTAACTTGTAATAAGTCTTTCGATTAAATTTCAAATTGTATACCTCTGCTTACCCCATTGGAGAATAAAGGCATTGCACTATGTTACGCAATGCTAGATATGTAGGGTAAAAATAAAACTAAGCAGTTAATTCAATTTAATTTTATTTGGTTCCTCTAAAACTATATTAGGTATTATCAAGTAAAGGAACTTTTATTATAATGTTTAGGCGCTTTTGTGACTTAAACAGACAAAAACTTGAGTATTCTGAACGCCATCTATATATAAGCATTCTATACAAAAGAGGGGTTCTCTCCAAAAAAAAAAAAACGAATGAAAAGACCTCAGCTCAAAACCACTTCAACGCACAGACCTCATACACTGAAATAAACAGTAATTTTGTACCACCAACCATTTCACCTAAAGTTGTTTCAGTAGGGAAGTTTCAAGAAAATTGAAATCATGTATTTTTAAATAAATTGGCTCTCAATTTATCAATAGGTACAAAAAATATTAGATGAAAAAGGGGTAGTGCAGTTTCATTTCTATTAACCAACGACCATTTGACAAAAGCTAGGCGTAATTAAAATCCGAAACTATCATAAAAAAACCATGTTTTTTTGTATCTAAAAGTCAGTCAGAATTTGTCAGACAGACTAACCGCCCGTATTTAAACATTAAATGCTTAGGTAGGTAATCAACTCAGCCCTTAGTAATTGGGTTCTGGAGAAAATCGTTACAAAGGAGTAGTTTTAGATACATTCATTCACCATTAGCCTGTAAATGCCTACAGTTTAAGGCCTCTTCTCACACGGAGAAGTTTTGTACAACGCTTGCTCGAGGCGAATTGATGATTTCCAAATTCTAATTAGAAATTATAAGTCCAGGTTTCATCGCGATGTTTTCTTTCTCCGTTTGTCAATGAATGAATGGTTAGCTAGTTGAAGACATTTATTAAACATCTCGGAGTATGATAGCAAATTTAATATTTCATTAGTCATATTAAAGTTTAGGATAATAAATAAATAAACACAAAATTTAATTTATTTATTTTTAAACATTACAATAATTGAACTTTTGATATACAATTTTCATTCTTTTTAGTACAAGCTAACGAACTCGTAGTTCGTATTTTAAATTTAATATTACACTTTTTTATAAATAATTCACATATTTATTTTTATTTACAAACAAATTATTTTTTATGTCCTGTCAAAAAAATAAATTTTGTAAACATAAATTTTATTAATCATAAATTTATTTAACAAAATTTTTATATTCCAATTTGTTCTTTATTTTCAGGCTTGTGACTGGCCTTACAACGTGAACTGCGTCCCTGGTGGTGGCGACAATGATGATGACAATGACCCTGATAATGAAGATGACTCTGACTCCGAAAGTGTTGAGATCAATGATCCTGAAGACAATGGCTTCGTACCCCTTCCTAACGGATGCCCAGCAGACTTTAGTATCCATCATCTCCTGCCTCACGAAAGCGACTGCAGCAAGTTCTACTACTGTGTCCACGGACAGAAAGTAGTCTCCAGCTGTGGACCTGGAACTCATTTCAACCCTGTTCTTCAGGTAAGATAGATAAGACACATTTTTTTATGTAATTGGACGGCTAACGAACAGTCGGATTACCTGATGGTACGCAATCAGCGCTCCCCATGAGCATCTGCAAGACCAGAGAAGTTGCGAATGTGTTGCCGGACCTTTTGGGGATTAGGGTTTCGCAGATTAAGGGAGGGATAGGAGACAGATGGGGGAGGGGAAGGACTGGGTCTACGGTTACCTAAGCCACACGGCAAAACGCAACGCTACGGTTTTTCACGCTGGTTTTTTGTGATCCATCGTCTGCTCGTTTGCCGATCAATCATATAGTGAAATACTAAGCTATTACAAATTTAAAAATACCAATTTAATTACAACTAAAAACCCTTCGAATTTTCTTCCTGTAAATAATGATTCACTTTAATATCTTTATTGATCTTGAACAATTTTTTATTACTTAGCACAAAACTACGACAAACCCATCTAACTGACGCACTCAGAAACATTTAATGACTACTTAGACACTTCAACTCACATCACATCATCAGCCTATAAGTGTCCACTGCTGAACAAATGCCTCTTCTTACTTGATAAATGTTTGAGCATTAATCACCACGCACGTCCCAGGCGAATTGACGATTCCAAACTTATAATTAGAAATTATAAGTCCTGGTTTCCTCACTATGTTCACCTAAACCAAATGAACTTAGAAAGTAGATACAACTCGGAAAAAGTCACATTGGTACTTGCCAGGTTTCGCACCCTTCAACTTCGAAACCACTTGGATATACCTACATTTAAACTATGTAGGTAATTAATTTGTTTCAAAAACAATTACTAAGGATCGAATTAAGTGTCCATTTAATAAAAAAAACCTAATGCCTATAACAGCAAACAAACACTAAACTAAAAAACACACCAAACGCATTATTTAAACCAATAAGAAAATGTCATTATCAATATAATAATCGAAAATATTGATAAAAAACATGGTACCATAATATATTTTCGTTATTAATTACAAAGATAAACATCTTTGCCAATCAATTTATTTTAAAAGATCAATATCTTGAATTCAAGCTTCCTGACGCTAAAACGCCGACTAATTACTTTTAAGTAATAAAAAAAAACATTTCAACGTGTAATTTCTCCCAAACCTACCCATATCGGTAAAAAATCCTATCATAAGTTATCATTATAATCTAGATTATATTTATTAAATCTTTCTTCGTGTTTCAATCGCAGTCTCGTGTGATATATATTTTTATGTGATATGACGGAAAACGAGCTGATGCATTAGCTGATGGTAAGCAATCAGCGCCGCCCATGGACACTCACAACAGCAGAGGAGTTACGAGTGCGTTACCGTTTTGGATTAGGGACTTGTAGATTTAGGGGATGAGAAGATCTGTGCCTCCGGTAACCTCATTCACACGGCGAAATACAACGGAGGGGTTGTTTAACGCTCGTTTTCTGTAAGACCATGGTATCATTCCGGTTGAGCTATTCGTTCTGAAGCATGGCTCTACCAAACTTAAAAAAAAACTTAATTAATAATTTTAATTACAGGTTTGCGACTGGCCACACAACGCTGGATGCGAACAGTCATCCAACTGCCCTGGTGGCAACAACTGCCCGGGAGATGATGACAAACCCGGTTGTAATGGTAACTGCCCAGAAGATGATGACAAACCCGGTTGTAATGGTAACTGCCCAGAAGATGATGACAAACCCGGTTGTAATGGTAACTGCCCAGGAGATGATGATGATAATGGCTTCGTACCCCTCCCCAATGGATGCCCATCAGACTTTGACATCCACCACCTCCTGCCTCATGAGAGCGACTGCAGCAAGTTCTACTACTGTGTCCACGGACAGAAAGTAGTCTCCAGCTGTGGACCTGGAACTCATTTCAACCCTGTTCTTCAGGTAATTATAGATGTTTTCATTATTCTGCGATAGGATCGAATAGAAACACATTTTTCATTATAATAGGAAGCTTATTTTGAAATACTTCCATAGTCCTGTAGTTATGAGTTCAAAAATTCCAATAAGTCTTTGTCTAGTTTACAAATTACTAATGTAGTCCTAAAGTCTGGAATAGATAAAATATTTTCTTTAACTTGTGCAATTACTTTCAGCACTGTACAATACACTTCAGGAGATGATTGTAACCAAAATGATTTTTTTAATTCTCAGGTCTGTGATTGGCCGGCAAATGCTGGATGTGAACACTGGAATCCCGATGGACCAGTCTGTGACGGCAACTGCCCCGGAGATGATGACAAACCCGGTTGTAATGGTAACTGCCCAGAAGATGATGACAAACCCGGTTGTAATGGTAACTGCCCAGAAGATGATGACAAACCCGGTTGTAATGGTAACTGCCCAGAAGATGATGACAAACCCGGTTGTAATGGTAACTGCCCAGAGGATGATGACAAACCCGGTTGTAATGGTAACTGCCCAGAAGATGATGACAAACCCGGTTGTAATGGTAATTGCCCAGAAGATGATGACAAACCCGGTTGTAATGGTAACTGCCCAGAAGATGATGACAAACCCGGTTGTAATGGTAACTGCCCAGAAGATGATGACAAACCCGGTTGTAATGGTAACTGCCCAGAAGATGATGACAAACCCGGTTGTAATGGTAACTGCCCAGAAGATGATGACAAACCCGGTTGTAATGGTAACTGCCCAGAAGATGATGACAAACCCGGTTGTAATGGTAACTGCCCCGGAGATGACGACCCGGTCTGCGACGGCAACTGCCCCGGAGGCGACGACCCAGTCACCGACAACCCATGCGCAAATCAATGCAATGTTGCTCCTTGGGCTTCAGACGATTGCGACAAATACTGGATGTGTGTAGGCGACAAGAAGGTCCAAATCACCTGCTCTGAAGGTCTGCATTTCAACCCTACAACTTTGACATGTGACTTCCACTGCAACTCAGGTTGTGAGAGGAAGAAGCTCGAGCTCACTGAGCACTACGACGGAGTCAGAATTTTCCTTCCATGGAACCAACTAAATAGCGAAACGAAACGTCTCCTGAGCCTTGAGGAATTGTAAACTTCTAACTTAGAAAGCATAATATTGTAAACGAATTATAAATTATACATCTATAAACACTTTTAATGTAGATTCTCTTTTATTGAAATTGTCATTGTTATATTTATATTGCATAAAATAACACAAAATTTTTCCCAATTTCTTCTTCTGTATAAATTCATGAAAGTAGCTTGTTCATAAATGCATCTTAAATCTCTCTTTAAAATTGTTGAGTCAATGTTGCAAGAAGAGGTTTAAGTCAAAATGTAAAATAAATTTTACAAATCATTTATACCAAAACAACAAAATTTATGAATGGAAAAATAAATTTTAAAAATTGTAATAATTAAAAAAAGGAATGTAAATAAAACGTATTTATTTCAAAATTAATATTTTATTTGTAAATATTATACATAAATATCGTAAATTGTAAATAATAAATATATGAAATCGACAATTTCACTCGTTCCTAGCGTAATGTCTTATGTTAAGTTTATCTTAGACTAAAATTAAATAAGGCTTATTAAATTATTATTTAATATTAATTTGCTTTTCATTAGGGGTCCCTAATACATTGCATATAAGGTTCCTTTTTTAATGTCAATATTATATTTTCGTATATTTTTTATTTCTAATACGGTAGTTTCCAACTAGTCAAATTCAATACTTTTATCCAAATGTCAAAAACGATACTTTTCTATGAAATTTGTATGAAAAACTGAGCTATGACGTCATAACTTTTTTGTGTCAAGTAGCTTACTTCTTTCTTAATAATTAGCTAAAAAAATCAAAAAATTAGTGTATCGATCGATCGATGAATAAAAGTATAGTTATTTTTCAATATTTTATTGTATTGAAACGTCGAAATAATTTATGTTTGACCTAGGAAACTACCCAATTTGTTTAACCCAACTTAATTCTAACATGGGATGACATTAATATAGTACTACACTGGTATAAAAATATTTTAGACATCGAATAACGCAATAATACTTTGCTCATTATCAGTTCTTATATTTTACTAACAAGGAGTCTTTTATTAAAGAATGGTCTGATGAAGTTATTTTATACATAGATGCATTGGACAATAATCCTATTAATGTTATAAACGTGACAGTTTTAAGAGTGTATGAATGTTTGTTGAAGAGGGTTTGACTCTGGAACAACTTTCGCGCCTTAACACTCAGACCCGAAATAATATAAACATTTCCAAAAATTTATGAATTAAAAAAACTACAATATGTAAGTTGTATGCTTGTAAACGCACCCACGATAAAGGAGAAAATTCTAAAGCAGAGTAACGTTAAAAAAAACAACGAATTTAATTACAGATTTAAAAATAATTACAAAAATAACAATTATAATTAAACAAAGGAAGAAACATAAAATATTGACAACTTTGGACATCTGCTTCAACAACAATATTTATATCTAAATATAAAATTGACAATTCAAATTATTACAAATATTTATTTTACATTTTATTTATAAAAAATTTACACAATATTAATATTACGTTTTTATCAACTTACGATCACTAAATTATTTTAAAAAATAATCAACAACTTTTCATAATTGGGTCTTAATTTTATGCTTTATAAAAATTGACTGGAATGGTTGTTTGAATTTTTGACTGTGTACAGGTTTTACTGACTGTCAGCGGCATCGTTGGCTTCTATGACCTGCAAAACACAAATTAAAATTAATAAACACATGAACTTGGAGAATTAGAAGTACAATAATAATGCTAAGTATTAGAGAACTATGCTTCGGCACGAATCTGCCGGTTCGATCGGAGTGAACCCATCTCCTTCCCACATTTTCAACCCTAAAATCCACATAAAGATAGCAACATACTTGCAACTGATGGTCTTTGATTGCGTTATTTGCTTACCATCACTCGTTGGACTATTACCCTATCAAAAAAGCTTCCTGAATAATGTTATTTAAAATAATAATTTTGATAAATGTGGCAGAGTCATGTTTCGTCTTAAATTAATCGGCACGATGGGAGTGATACCACGGCCTAACAAAAAACTGGCGTGAAACAATCAGCGTTGTGTTTCGCCGTTTTGAGTGACGTTTTCGGAGGCCCAAACCTTTCCCTCTCCCCATCTCTCCCTATTCCCAACACCCTAATCTCCAAAAGGCCGGTAATGCCGTCGTAACTCTTCTGTTGTTGCGTGTGTCCATGGGCGGCGCTGATTGCTTACCATCAGGTAATTCGCCGCTTCATTTGCCGACCTATCATACAAAAAAATACATACCCTCTTAATCTTCTTCCCGTACATGGACCAGAAGGTGACTTTAACTTGGGTTGGTTTACCGGTCCTAGCGTCAAATACACGGCAGCTGTCGAAAGGTGGACAGTAGAGATGTAAGGACACTGCACCATCGACGTGGGAAGGATTCTCAACTCGATGAAGACCCAGTGCATCTGAAGATGATAAACAGCACAATGTCAATTTTTCACATGTTAGGTAGAACAATCTCCGGCCACGGTAAGCGCGGGTTTGCGGACGGCGAGTAAGGGCAGCTCGCTGTCCGACCGGAACCAGACCCGAGCGGAAGGCGCGTAGCGTTCCGAGCGCGCCTCAAAGAGCCAATAGTCCAGTATAGACAGGGCCCTATAGGTTTGATGTTCAGCCAGGGTTGCGGGTTAAGCGCAATGAGTCACCGAGGCCTCGGCCCAGAGCAGGAGAAGGAACGGGATTTTTTATGGTAGTAAAAGTCTGACATTCTCCCTCTCTCTCGCCCGACCGATAGCGCGTTGCTTTACTGCGCTTGCCCCGCACCCTAAAAATTTACAATACCCGGCTAAGGTAAGGATAACCTGGATTAATTATAAGTTTCAAATCGCCAATACGCTTTGTGTACCTAAGCGTGGTGAATAATGCTCAAACCTTCTCCATTTGAGAAGAGGTCCTTGTCCAGCAGTAACCAGTGGCGTTGTGGTGACAAAAGTACAACTAAAATAATAACGCCTGTAATTTTATTTATAGCAATTCTAACAAAAAATATGAGTAGTGAAATTATCGAAGGCATTAAATTAATACAGAAAAGCCGTAGTAATCTACTACAGATTCAACCCATTATTGACACTAGAAACCTTGCTTACGGGGCAGCTTACTAATCAGGATTTTAAATCCCTAATCTCTAGCCCGATCTAATTAGAAACTCCATAAAACTAACATAAAAATCGACTAATTGATACTCGACTAGCTACTCTCGCGCGGTTTTATGTAATCGTAGCGAGATGTTTGTTGTTAGCTACAACATTGTAGCTATCTATCAGTGAAAGAATTTTGGAAATCCGACCAGCAGTTCCAAAGATTACCCCCTACATACATACTTACAAATTTTATAATGCGCAGAATAAAATGTATACTAACCATTAATATAACAGACATCGTTGATTTCCATTCTTGTTCTACCTCTGACCTTCATATCCTCAGCATCATACCCTTCATCATCATCACTACCATACTCTTCTCTCTTTCCCTGACAGCTGTCATTCTTCTTTTGACACCTGTCATTCTTCTCTTGACACCTGTCACTCTTGCTCTGACAGCTGTCACATTGACAGTTCTCACGTTGACAGGTTTCATTGATTTTCAGTTCGGATACACTGTCAGGCAGATCTTGGCTTTCTGAACAGCATTTTCTTCGCGGCTTATTGTTATTTAAAACCTTCATAACTTCCGGCTGAACGTTTTCAGGCCACTCGTATCTGGAAATCGTTAATTAAAATTAATTAATGATAATTCTTTTTGTGTTGCATTCAGTGTTATTTGGTGTCAATGAACTTGTTGTGTTTTTGTTTGTAATTTTTTAATTGTAACAAAGGTATTTTTTGTAATAACGTCTTAGTAGAACGATCGGTTTAATTGTATTTTTTTAATAAGCTCAAATGCAATCTGAAATGAAAAATTACATAACTTAATTTTTACTCCAGGGTTGCTTTTACAATGGTTAGATAAAAGTTACCTGGGGAATAATTATGATGCCGTCGCGTCAGAATGTTTGTATAAGACAGTGACAGCAACACTTTTATTCCTCAGATAACATTTATCTGACTATTGAAAGATCAGCACTAAGTAAAATTTATTTTTTTCGACGGACATGGACTGGGCAAATCACATAATGGTAAGAATTGGCGCCGCTAAGAATATCATTCAGCGCTAGAGGAGCTACAAATGCGAGGGTTATTAAGAAATTGAGGATAAGTGAAGAAAAGATTTGGGCCTCCGGCAACCACATACTCCCTCCTCACTTCCCACCTCATGAGTATATTTTTGTTAAAAACTTATTATCACTTTTATTTTTCGAATGGGTCGGCTCGACCTACACCCCAGCCTCACAGAAAACCGGTGTGAAATTTTAATAACCACAGCGTTGTGTTTCGCCATGTGAGTGAGGTTACCGGAGCCCCAATCTTTCCCTTCCCCCAATCCCTCCTCAATCCCTAAAACTCCAAATCCCTAATCCCTAAAAGGTCGGCAACGCGCTCGTAACTCCTCCGTTGCGGGTGTCCATGGGCGGTACTGATTGTTTACCATCAGGTAATCCGTCTGCTCGTTTGCCGATCTATTACATAAAAAAACTAATAAACTTAATAAAAAAATAAAATGAATGTAGATGAACCCATAGGTATTTCATATCTGAATACAATGAGAAGAAATGCCGAAACAAACTCAGAGGTCAGTTTCTTTAGTAAGTCCAGACAAATATTAAAAATATTAAATATTAAAATATTAATTAATCAAAATATTAAATGATGGAAGATAACCGTGCAAGTTCATTCCGTAGTGGTCTTGTGAGGAAAGAACCACACCAGTCTTAGTAGACCCATTCTGAAGACAGGCGCTCAAGTGTCAGTTTACAACTAGTCCAACTAGATTATGTTGCCGAACGACGAACAATATCAACTAAAAGAACATTAGGGTAGGTCGCTAGAAGGCGAAAACATATCACTGTGTCATGGCGTGTCGTGTCGAGCCTGAAGCCTATCGGTTTAGTACATTCTACTAAGGCTGGAAATACAATCGCGTGTCGTGTCGTGTGCGCTATTATAAGAAGACGTGTGGGAAAGCCATGTTTCGGCACGAATGGGTCGGCTCGTCCGGATTGATACCACGGCCTCACAAAAAACCGGCGTGAAACAACCACTTTTTTTTGTTGGTTTTATCTATAAAAAATACGCATCAAAATCCGTTGCGTAGTTTTAAAGATTTTAGCATACATAAGGATATAGGGACAGAGAAAGCGACTTTATTTTATACTATGTATGTAGTGATGGATCGGCCCCTCACTCATGAAGACCCAGTGGAGAAGTCAATTTAAGTAATGATACATATACATATTCCCCAATCAACAAAAAGAGACATCATTGAATGACCAAAAACTTATTTTTTTTTGAAATAATTGGTCGGCAAACGAGCAGACGGATTACCTGATGGTAAGCAATCAGCGCCGCCATGGACACCCGCAACGGAGGAGTTACGAGTGCGTTCCGACCTTTTAGGGATTAGGGATTTGGAGATTTAGGGATTGAGGAGGGATTGGGGGCGAAGGGATTGAGGAGGGATTGGCGGGGAAGGATTGGGCCTCCGGTAACCTCACTCACACGGCGAAACACAACGCTGTGGTTGTTTCACGCCGGTCTTCTGTGACACCGTGGTATCACTCCGGTCGAGCCGACCCATTCGTGTGGAAGCATGGCTCTCCCACACTTAAAGTACTTATCTAAGTAAAGATCTAGGTTAATCAACTATTAATTACTACGACGGCAGTTAATGAAATTTTAACTTACAAAATCTAGTTTGAACTGCATCTGTTACTATCGAAGTTAAATTAAATGCGTTCATTGTGCTGGCAGTTACCGATAACAGTGACCGCCGCTAACCTTTACACAAAGACTGCGTTTAATAACACACTTGATTGAGAATGTTCTTTTCAATTTGATAACAATTATTCACGTGAGTCTTGGAAAGTCAGACTCTTACTGACTAACAAACCCCCCCGTTCCTTCTCCTGCTTTAGGCCGAGGTCGCGGTGCCTTATTGCGCTTATCCCGCAACCCCGGCTGAACATCAGCCCTATAGGGCCCCGTCTGTGGTGGTCTATTGGCTCTTTGAGGCGCGCGCGGAACGCTACGCGCCGTACACTCGGGTTTGGTTCTGGTCGGGCGGCGAGCTACCCTTACTCGCCGTCCGCTGAACTGCGCTTATGGTGGCCGGAGATCATTTCTCGATCCCCAACGCCCAGAATGTCGTCTAGGCGCGAGGAGAATAGTTCCCTCAACCCGTGTGATGGTCTGAAGGGTATTTTTTTCTAAAGGGAAAAAATTATCCAATCATTTCTCTCGTCTTAAGTCTCGAGTATCAGACTCTTGATGACTAAACTCTTACATTCCGCGGTTGCGGTATATGCGCTAGCAAACCAGCCTCAACCAGAAATTAAGCTGCCTGCTTCTCACACCTAGATGCAGGTTTGAAACCGAGTTTTTCCAGCGATACGAGTAAGCACTTATGACGATTTTTAGCACCATTTAGATAAAGAAAAAACCTCGTTAGGAAACCTGAATACCTTCTAATAGGGCACTAATTAACTGATGAGCAAAGGCCTCTTCTCACACGGAGAAGGTTTGAGCATTAATCACCACGCTTGCTTAAGGTAGATTGGCCATTTCAAACTTATAATTAAGAATTTTTAGTCCACGTTTCCTCACGGTGTTTTCCTTTGCCATATGTAAGTGTCATTAACCATAAAAAGTACCTGTGAAATAGTCACATTGGTACTTGCCAGGTTTCATGCATAAGAAGCAGATGTCTTAATTAAATTTATCTCTATATTCTTAAGTACCTAGCAACACTATCGACCTCGTTAATTTTAAAACAAAACAAAACATAATCCGAATAGAACTGGTTTTTTTTAAAACAATATCTTGGTCGTGCGTAAATTCTTGATAATAAAGACATTTATATTATGATGTAGTTCAACAACAGAGGTTAGGGGGTGTCCCAATTCCAAATTACGTCAGTATAAATGATCTGACGTTTTTATAACAAATAGAGAGATAACATAATTTTTTTTTTTTTTTTTTGTTATGTGATACTGCGAATACGTGCCGACGGATCACCTGTTTCGATCTAGCCTAAAGGATTAGCAAACTGAAGTGGCAGTGGGCAGGTCACATCTGTCGAAGAACCGATGACCGCTGGGGTAAACGTGTTCTAGAGTGGAGACCACGTCTAGGCACACGTAGTGTAGGGCGCCCTCCAGCTAGGTGGACTGACGACATCCGCAGGGTGGCTGGCAGTGGTTGGATGAGAAGAGCTGAACATCGAGCTCAGTGGCGTGCAATTGGTGAGGCCTATGTCTAGCACTGCCCCTGATAGTTGAAAAGACGTATCTAACAAAAAGTAAAAACGGAGAAAAAAATGTTTTAATGAATGAAACAAGAAATTGTTTGCTGTGTTCGTGTGAATTAAAATATTTAGGTATTAAAAGTTGAAAATAAAGCCCATTAAAAAGACCTTTAACATGGTTTAATAATAATATGAATTTATTAAATTATTATAATAAAAATATTAGAAAAACCTTTTCATCTTAGCATAAAAAATTAGGAAAAATATCACATACTTAATTGAATAGACGTAAATGGCTAGATGCGTCCTTTAATTTTCAAACGCCTTTGCCTGTACTTTTCTTCTAAGTATTTATATTATTTATCTAGTATATATTTTTAACAAAAATGGGCGCTTATGGTCATTTCCGCCTTTTTTCTTAAGAATAAATAACTTCATAGATGTCCCTTGACTAAGATAAAATGTTTAAATAATAATTTAATAATTCTTTTATTTATGGTTTAAATGTTAATAAACTCGTAGTCATCATAATAAACTATTATTATGATAACTACGAGTTTATTAATATAATATAATAAAAATATTTATTAATGCATTATTATTAAATAAAACGCAATTGATACAATGAAATATTTATTTAAAATGCTTTTGACTAATAACAAAACACAAAATGCTAACCTTGGCATATTCAATTATAATTTAAATTAGAACTGTAAGAATTACACTTGAGCAATGTCACGGTGTTAAGCTTTATCAGTCTTATACAGGTACAGATCCATTATAAATCTCTTATATCTTTATTTAGCACACTACTATAAAAAGTTTTTTGCCAACAACATTATTATAATTAAAGTAAAAAAAAACAATATCAAAAGAAACAAAAACATCACTCTTCATTTATATTTTAACTGGCTCGAAAACTTAAAATAAACACTGAAAACTGATTATGGATTATTTTTAATAACAAAGATAATTGTGTTGTCTTTACAATTGATTGTTAATCATAACTCAATTTTTAATTTATTGGTAACATTATTATGAGCGGGTAACCCCGAATAGGGTAGTAAGTGTCACTACGAGGAATGGCAGCGGGCATCTTGCTGACAGCTGCCAGCCGAAGTGTACACGCTAACCTATTGGCTCAAATTCTCATTCCATCTTATTAATTGTCGGGCACGCTACTATAGCAGCGGTAAGACCCCTCTTTGAGGAGTGGCTTGAGAGATGCCACGGCGTCCTCACCTTCCGCCTGACGCAGGTGCTTACCGGGCACGGCAGCTTCGGTAGGTTCCTGTTTCGGATTCAGCGGGAGGAAACGCCCGAGTGTCGTCATTGTGAGGACCACCTAGAGGATACGGTG